GATAGATAGATAGATAGATAGATAGATAGATAGATAGATAGATAGATAGATAGATTGAGAGAGAGATAGATAGACAGGGGAGAGAAAGAGAGAGTTTTGTGTCAATTTAACGCCCTTTTGAGCCGTTGGGAGGCTATTTCACCCTTTTTCCGAAATTACCTAAACGTATCAATGAATAACAAAACAAATAGATAAATATGACTTAAAAAGTACATAATTTGTTTGTTTGTTTGTTTGTTTGTTTGAGTAAAGAAAAGCACGTTAGCTCAATAATGTTAATTTAATTTAGTGTTTGGGAAAATCCGAAAATGTAAGACTGACAGAAGCAACAGTGGGAAAGTTAAGAAATTGGACGTACCAATGGTACACTCCAACATGAATAACTTGTGTAAAGAATAATATGTTTAAGAGTAAATTATGAGCAAAATGAATTTTTTTAAACAGAGTGTTTACGGCATCCAATTCTACAATGAATTATAATTTGCTACACAAATAAACGTTTCGCAGCATGCAATGACACTTTATACTGGTATTTGTGGTGTAGCGGTTGAGGGCTTTGTTGTCACGCGCAAGTGATCTGGGTTCGATTATCAGGTAGAGCAAATTCCCGTCGTGTATCTCGATTTTCATGGTGTTTCTCGATCTTTTTTCTTTTTTTTTGGGGGGGGGGAGGGGGTTGACCCTGCCCATCTCGGTCTTTTTGATTGCATGTTGTATCCCTCTCAGCTCGTGTTGGTCTCAAAGTAGTAAAAGGCAGGGTCGTAAGCCCGTCTCCTAAATTATCTAAATTGTGTCGATGGGAGCGTAAAATCACCAAGGCTACATTGAAATTTTAACAAAAAGACATTGTTTACTTACTTCAGCTGATAGGAAAGGAGTCAGCCTGTTGTTCTTGTGGCTTCTAACTAACCCGGATATAATGCAGAACTGAGAGAGAAGAAGATCTACGCGCTAATATGCAGAACTAGATTTTCTGGTCTATATCTACGCGCTAATGTGCAGAACTAGATTTTCTGGTCTATATCTACGCGCTAATGTGCAGAACTAGATTTTCTGGTCTATATCTACGCGCTAATGTGCAGAA